TCATTTTCCAAACGCATCCAAATTTCGCATCGCGTCGTGGTCGTGTTAATCGGACGAAATGAAATTTCCCCAATTCATTGTTGCAACAATGGGCGGGCGAAATTTGGCTCGTTTCCCGCAGATAATTGGTAAGAAATTGAAATTATACAATGCGCCTGCTGCAATTTGGCACGTGTCGAACAATGTATACGCTCAACGTCGCGTCGTTTACTATGCAGCGTTCTTATCCGTAATACGATATCAATTTGCATTGCTGTCGATAGGTCGCGTCCGTCCCGCGCTCAAGACATTTCATAAATTTCGAAAATGTCACGGTGGTTCGTGGTTCCGTTCGCGCAAGAGACGATATCGCCGTCGCGTCGTCGCGCCGAAACAATAAACGTGCGTTTGCCAAGTCTCTTTTACTTGTTGTTTGTTTAAAGAAGCAAGAAGTCCAGTTAGTAGACGCGAGACAGTTTAAATTTCTGGCCAAGACAGCAATTGTTTTCGTGATTTATTGCTTTTTCTTTTTTTTTTTAAAGATGGCCAAAATTAATCACAGGCCTGAAAATTTTACGTTGTACCACATCGTATGTTAGAAACTTGGCGAACCAAAGTTCCTTTGGATTCATTCCAGACTTTCGAACGTGCATATATTTCGTTGTAAATGTTTCTCTCTACCTCGTAAAACGTATCTAGTTTGTGTTCATAGTTCACTGGAGTATATAAATATACACTGATTGTTGGCGTAACAATTTCATGAATCTTTGTGAAAACCGTGCTTGCACCAATCTGCATCAACGATGCGCAAACATACTTTACGCTACGAGTTCAATTTTTCTACTTCTTTTTTTTTTTTTTTTTTTTTTTATTTTTGCCTAGAATCTACGTACATTGAGTCTTGGAAAGAATTCAATTGAATCAACATTTGAACGGACCTATGATTTCCATTTCAATTTCAATCACTTGGAGATTGGAGATTGGAGACTAATTATTTGCCCAAGATTATTTCTACGATTAACTGAGAGATCGTTTTACCTGAGAATTGGAGTAAGACTGCGATTCGCTGCAATCCAACACTCCGTCTTTGACCACGTAGTGTATCAGATCCATGGCCCTTCGCATCTGGCAGAAAACCGTGTCTCTGTTTTCTCTGGCAGATGGACATTCCGGATGCCTTAAGCAAGTTTTACTAGACGTGAGTAGCATCATAGTGCTCCTCTCTAAAACTTGGCGAGCCGCGGCCATCTGTGCTCTTCGTCTCTCGTCTTTCAAGTCATTCTGAAATTTCGAAACGTTCCGTCCATTCATTCCTGTTGCACGCGTTCCTATTTATGCTTTGCAACGCTGTGCTTCTCCCTGACAGATGTGTCACGGTGATAATAATAAAAATGGAAAGAGAACGAGAGAGAGAGAGAGAGAGAGAGAGAGAGAATATAAAGAAACACAATGTATAAAGATAATACGGATCGAATTAATTACTTACCTGGCGATCGCCCGTCAGGTGCGCCAATTCCACCATCTCGGCTCCGAACTGGCTGAACGCTTTCACAAATTCGGTAAAGTTGGAAACGCTTTCGAGACGGCCAAGACTACGAGCTACCTTCTTCTTTGCGAGAAGAAGTTGCTTCACCACGACGATGTCAGCCAGAAGAAGGACCTTGGTGACAGAACCAAGCAGGCATCTCGCGGCTCTCACGACAGAGCCTCGGTCAGCTAGGCTGTCCTCTGTCGCGCATTCGCACAATTTCTCGATCGCCGAGCCTGCAATCCAACCAATTATTATTCCTACACGGTTATATTACTCTATTAATTTAAATTTCTCGAATTCAATACGATTCCGTTGTACCATGTGACGACATTCGACTTATTCCAAGTTTACGAGAACTATTTTCAAATGTGCACGTACGATGTTGTATGCAAGTACCAATCTCTTGCATACGCGTATATTACACATTCCAAGTATTGTATGTGCAATACATTCGTGCATACAAGTGCTTTGGCTGTTGCAGTCAATATCATTGTCGCCGACAATCGAATCCTTTCCTTTGGTCCCAACGCAATGCGCAATGAATATTCATCATCTTATAGAACGGGTTCAACAACGCGCGACGAAGAATATCGATTCCCTCGGTTTTCGGTCGGAAGCGACAGCGTCGCTTCTACAGCCTAGTTTTTCATACCTAATCAAAAATTTGAGTTTTCCTTTCGTATCAACATGGTGGCGAAGCTCTTTCAAGGGTGACGCGTTTTACGATACGCTCCTTTGAAATTCCCGCGAACGACGGAAGCATATTTTTCACAAAATGACTGACTTTTCCACAGAGCCAGAGACTCGTATCGGGATTTCCATACGACGTCATTCGACTACCGATCGACGGTCACGTGAAAAGATCTCTCGGATTAATCACGACGGAGGTGTTCAACGAAGCGTTAGCAGATAGCGTTTTTGTACTCGATTATTTTATCAGGCGTTGGAGAGCACAGGCAAGAAACCAAGCAGAAGACCAGATACGACGACGTTGAATCTAACTAGATCCAACATCTTCTTCCCTCTCGACGATCAGATCTTTTATTCACGGAAATTTTCGCAAGTTTTTTTTATCTTTCAATCTCTCGGAATTTCGTCCTTTAAATTCGACAGAGATTCGAAAATTTGATATTTCATATCCTGGGATTCCTTAAACTCTCGAGCTAAAACCGATAAAAAAAGACTAACGAAATTACGTATTGGCTCCTCGTGAAAAAAAAAAA